CAGGAAGAAATGCTTCCTCAATGGTGTATGGCAAGAAAGAAGAGTGTGCACACTACTACACTCAGATTTCAGCGCCCAGTCCTAGAGCGTCAAAGTCTTCCACCACAAAAAAAAAAAAAATCAGGAACAGGGAATTAGGGCATCCAACAACCAAAGTAATTGAGGTAGTTCCCAGTACATGGTCAAACTGACCTAATCAATAAGACGTCAGAGACTGGTCAAGCACTAAGGCAATGGCAACAGCTCTGAACATCGAAAGAGCTTCAGAGCCCACTTTAATCAAAATGGTACCTAGAAAGAGCCCTAAACTGAACCTAGCACCCAAAGGTCACTTTCAGGCTAACACCAAATGACCAGTCCAGTGTCGTTTGGACATGGTATTCCAAAAGCCAGACAACCTCACCAGAAAGCTGAAATGACCACTTGCTACTTGGTCACAGTAGATTTACTGTGACCGAGTGGCAGCTGCAGGCTCAGACATGTAAATAAACATTGCTGCCTGCTTCTAGGTTTGGGGTGCACATCCCTTGCTGACCTGCGCTGTGTCCAACCACAGCCCAGATCAGCAGGGGATGCACACCCCAAACAGATTTTGTCAACAGGTTGCAGCCAATGGATTATGGCTGAGACCTACTGATCAGCTGTGTCTAATCACAGCAGAGTCTTGTGTTTACAAACACATAGGACTCTGCATACAGAGCATCGATCTGGCTGTAGCCAGATTTTTTAGTAAAAGCAGCACATATTACATTTGTTAGGCACAAACGTAACCCCTTTCCAGCCCGTCTCATTAGTACTGTGTACAGTATTATTTCATCTGATCAATATATTGACCCTGCGAGGGTCTGTTAGCGCCAGATTTCCTGCTGCACCATCATAGCCCCACTATAAATCACTGATCACCGCCATTACCAGTACAGTGCCATAGCTGCCTAAATGCCAGTATTATATACCATAGTTTGCAGACGCTATAACTTTCACACAAACCAATTAATGTGCACTTATTGGGATTTTTTTAAACCCAAAGATAAGCAGCAGAATACATTTTGGCCTAAATTTGATTTAAAGAAATTTGATTTTTTTTCCCCCCGTTTGTATAATAAAAACCCCAGTGGTGATCAAATACCACCAAAAGAAATCTCTATTTGTGTGAAAAAATGATGTTAATTTAATTTGGGTACAGTGCTGCATGACATAATTGCCAGTTAAAGTAGAACAGTGCAGAATAGCAAAAAAAAATGCCCTGGTCATGAAGGGGGTAAAACCTTAAAAAGGTCAAGTGGTTAAAGAGGTGAGGCTCCAGCAGTGATGTAGAGAATAGTCCTATTAGAAAAAAAAAAAAAAAAAAAAATTCTTTAAGGCAGCATTATAGCCCGTAGGTCAAAGCCTTCTAGTGCTCCTCACAAAAAAAGAAACAGAAGTACATTGACCATGGTTAAATCAGAATAACAGACAGACAAGAAAGAACAAATACACTCTTATTTTTATATTTTCTTTTAATAATTTTGTACTCATGGTTACCAGCCATAGTCATAACAAAAGTTATTCATAATAAAATGTATCTAAAATAACAATTTTGTTTTCTATCAGAAAAGGAGCTGTCTTTCAATGTTAGAAATAAATAGTTAGCGCTATTCTGAAAATACTTTGGAGAAGGTGGCCACAAGGCGGTCTTGGCAGGCTTTGCCCAGCTCCTGACCTCTACGCGCTGCGTGTGGGTACAGGGGCAGTTCCAAGTCCACCGTTGACAGAGGAGGCAGGTGACGGCCAAACAGACAGCAAATAACGAGGAATACATACATGGGGTGTAAAGCACAGTAGATAAAAGGAGGTCATCTAGTTAATAAAGAGTTGACCAACCATAAACTCTATTCATTTCATGTTAGTGTAGATAAAATGGAAAAACAGCTCATTATTGAGTCAATGTTCTACCATACTTAAAGGGGATAAGAAAAATGAAAACCATTAAATGGCACCCTTCCATGTGGGTCCTTTACTATCTACAACCACTGTCCTTTTTGCAGTGGTCAATGAACTTGCATTCAACAATTTAAATTAAAAAAAAAACAGAAAAATAACAAAAATTGAACTCTGTAGTTGATGCTACTAACTTACAAAACAGGCTCCACTAAGTTGTCAAAGCGCAGCCTGCAGACCATTTCTAACATTCACTGAACACTCCTCAGAATGTCTGGTTCTAAAAGTTTTACTTAGCCAAACTGCAAAATCCATAGGAGTACCTAGTGAAGATCACCTCACTGAGTGCTCAGAGAACACTCCAAGGAGCAACAGAAAGGCTAATTTCAGGTCCTCTACCCATCTGTCTAGGACAGACATTACATCACAGTTAGCACGGGTCAGGTCACAAAACACAAGTGCTGGGTGTACTGTGCTTGTGTGTACTTGGCATTAAAGATGACCTGTAGGAATAGTAATATGGGGGGCTGTCCATATGTTTATTTAAAGTGCAAGCTCAGGGACTGTCATTGTAAACCATGCTTCAGAACTGAAAGTCATAGATCTGGAAAAGTATGTAAGTTGACAGCAGAAAACTTCACTGGCTGCATGCTTCTTATGGGCCTGTGACATACTAAGGGTAAGCATACATATTACAATCAGAGCATACAGTATCCTTCAAATTTACCAATTGTATGTAATGAGGACAGACAAGCAATCTATATCCCATTGTGCAGGGCCTTGTATTATAGCTGTTGACAGATCTAATTGAGAGTGCACATGGGAGGTTGTAAAGGCCTATGCTGATGGAATCAGTTTGAGATACTTCTGAGACCATTCAGAATTCACTGACAGGTGCATGTAACCTTCAGTTGATCTCCTTCTGACCTGCATTGTGATTTGCTTCAAGCAGATTTTGCATTCCTATATAGATTTGTAAAAGAATGCATCTGAAGCAAACAAAAGCCCATCCGCAAAGGCCTTAATATTTTAATGTGTACATTTACCCTAAGGAACAAAGCTAGAAAGGATGACAGCCACAGAATAGTTTAACAAAAAAAAAAAGTTTGAAATAGCAGTTTTTATATATCCATGCTGCAAGGTATTTTTGAATTCTCAAAGCTTGGGTTAAACTTGGAAGCAGAGAGAAGAACCTGTCGAGCTATTATTCAGAGAAGCCTTTGATGGTAGCTGGCACTAGAACTGCCAGCTTGCATACTAGCTCTGAAGCAGTTTGCCACAGAAGTGATGCTGTATCACTTTGCATTGTGCATCCATAATCTCAACCTTTCCTTCGCAAAACTTGTTCACACAGGCCTTTTCAATGCACACATCTTATTTTGTATTTGGCTTGGTGAGCATGCAGACTAGGAAAGGAGTCTGGCAAAAAACCATGGGTTGTGCTACTTAATGCAGGCATCAATTTTGCATCATGACAAAAACAAGTCCTATTGACAGGTGCTCTGCACTGAAACCAAGTGCCTTTCCACACTACAGCCATCTGTGAAGTCCAGTCAGCTCTGTTCAGTAATAATAATACAAAGTAACATGGATATCACTCCAATAATGCCCAATAAATGTGACAGGAAGAGATGCAGAACGTCGGTCATCTGCAGAGACTCATCTGCACAAGCTTATTGAAAATCAGGAGGCTGCAAGTCCACATCTCACTAGTGGCTACCACACACATAATATCCATCCTCCCAACAAACCAGAGATGTACCCATCCTCAAGGAAAGCATATAGGCCAGGATTGCGTGAGAGACATCATGCTGCGTAAAGATCCCATGTTTCTATGTGTGCCAAATGCTCTCCAACCACCGGGGCCAAAGAAGCGCTTGACCAACAAAGAATGCTGGCCTGTGAAATATTTGATTCTTGCTGCATCCTGAACTTGGCAAGGACTGATCCTGTGCCTCAGTTTATCTAACTGGCTTCCCCAAAGCAACACCAATTGCTAGGTACAGAAAGTAGAGGAAACAAAAAACAAAACAAAAACACAACACCAGCTGCACTGTGCATGTTGTCTACAAATCCTGGCATTTGAGCTCTGGCATTGTGCAAGCAAAAGCCAGACAGAAGAGTATGTCCCATGTTGGGAGGTAGACAGGCAAAATCACATGAAAAAGATTCCCTTTCCTTTCTGCCAGAACAGGTGGATCACAAAATCTCCAACTCAGGTATAATTGGCACAAAGAAGAAAGCCAAGAATATAGGATGCTACCTCCTAGCCAGGACAACCTGAGGAGAAGGTGGAGGCGGGATTCTTTCAGCTTTCTTTGTTATTCATGCACCCAACATAAGCTAAGTCTCCCAAGTGAAAAAAAAAAAAAAAAAAAAGACAGTACTCCTGCCTTCTGGGTACCTTCATAAATAATGTGTATTTCCCCAAGTAGCACTTAATAGACTAAATTTTATCAATTTCTATGCTGTGCCGTCCCTCCTCTGTTCATCGGTGGGCCAGTAACTGCACAGGGCAGTGTCCTGTCTGACAGATGCCAGTCCTTGTAGTGGGAACAACTGCTGTTCCTTAGCTTAGTGTGTTTGCCCGACAGAGGCTCCTTCCTTCTCTGGAGCACCTGGCTCCTCAATGAAACAGCACACCTTGCCTGTCCAGCTTTTCCACGTCCTGGAGGAGCTTGCTCCTTCCTGCTCACCTCCACCAGGGCTCTGTGCCTCTGTAACCCTTCCAAGTGCATGGTGGGTGAAGCTGTGTGCACCAGCAGAGACTCTTCACTAAGCTCCCCCAGTGTTACATGTCTTGGTATTCGGGCAGACAAAAAAGAGAAAAAATAAAATAAAAAAAAAAAAGCTCCTTCCTCAATATGAACTCTTAGCAGTGCTGTGTGTATCTGGATATTAAACCAAAGTTAAAAAGTTATGATAGCTGAAACGAGTATTAGAACGCAGTGGGTGGATGATGATGTAGTGACGGCCTCAGGGGGTACTGGCGGGGAAAAAGGCGTTGTCGCTTCCCTGGCCAAGGTCATGGGAAGGGATAGAAAATGGCGCCCCTTGGGGAGAAGTGTTTGCCAAGCACACGGTCAAATGGTCGATGTTTTGTCTGTCCCCTCTGTAAGAAAAATAAATAAATTATTGAAACAAAACCACATAAGGGTCTTCTTTAGATAGCAAGTGAAAAAACAGTTCCACATTGTGAATTTTGTCCAATTTCAACTTAAAGTTGAAACAGATGTGTGAAGCATTGCCCACACTATCCTGAGCCAATCACCCCTGTTGAGCAACAGAAGGCAAACACCACTTTTCCAGAGTTCTGTAAGCCACTTCCCTTCTGTAGGAACATCTACTCACTATAATTTTGTCCCTTCTGAGCATTCCACTTTCCCCTATCACCAATTTACAAAGCAGGAATTCCCACTGAAAGTCATATTTCAGCTCACGTTTCATACCAAACACAAAATGCTCTGCCAGTAGTCATGTCTCTGGTTTTACCACACACTGTCAGCTTTATTTGTAATATGCATAGGCATTATTGTATAGTGTATTAAGAAAGTATTCAGCCCCCTCCTCTTTTTTCAATTTTAGTTTGTTGCAGCCTTGTTCATTTTTTTCTCAATAATCTACACTTAGTACCCCATAATGACAAAGTGAAACAGGATTTTCGAAAGGCCCGTGAATTTATTAAAAAGGAAACATTTAAATATCACATTGGCATAAGTATTAAAACCCTTTTCTAAGCACTTTGTTGAAGCACCTTTGGCAACAATTACAGCCTTGAGTCTTTTTGGGTATGACGCGACATGCTTTGCACACCTGGATTGAAGGATTTTACACTAATCTTCTTTAAAATCCTCTCAAGCTCAATCAAGGGGACCATCGTGGACAGTCATTTTCAGGTCTCTCCAGAGATGTTCAATAGGGTTCAAGTCAGAGCTCTGGCTGACCCATTCAAGGACATTCAGATTTGTCCCTAAACCAATCCTGTGTAGTATTGGCTGTGTGCTTAGGATCGTTGTCATGTTTGAAAGTGAACCTTCGGCCCAATCTCAGGTCTGGAGCGCTGTAGAACAGTTTTTGATTGAGAGCATCTCTGTACTTTGCTCCATTCAGCTTTCCCGCAACCCTGACCAGTCTCTCATCGCTGCTGCTGAAAAACACCTCCACAGCATGATTCTGCCATCACCATGCTTCACTGTTGGGATGGTATTATGCATGTGATGAGTGGTGCCTGGTTTCCTCCAGATATAACATTTAGAATTGAGGCCAAACAGTTCAATCTTGGTTTCATCACACCAAAGAATCTTGTTCCTCAGCCAGTCAGAGTCCTTCAGGTGTTTTTTTTTTGCAAAGTCCAAGTGGGTTTTCATGTGTTTTGCACAGGAGAGGAGAGGCTTCCGTCTTAGCCACTCTGCCATAAAGCCCGATCGGTGGTGAGCTTCCGTGATGGTTGTCCTTTTGGAACTTTGTCCCATCCTCCACACAGGACCTCTAGAGCTCAGTCAAAGTGACCATCTGGTTCTTGGTCACCTCTCTTACTAAGGTCCTTCGTCCCCGAATGATCAGTATGGTTGTGCCAAACTTCTTCCATTTGAGAATTATGGAGGAGACTGTGCTCTTGGGAACCTTCAGTGCAGCAGACAGTTTTTGTAGCCTTTCCCAGATCTGTGCCTTGTAATAATCCTGTGTCTGAGTTCCGCAGGCAGTTTCCTTGATATCATGGCTTTTGCTCTGATAAAGTAGGCATTGTCAGCTGTGAGGCCTTTTATAGAAGGGTGAGTGCCTTTCCAAATTATGTCCAATCAATTTAATTTACTATAGGTGGACTCCAATCAAGGTGCAGAAACATCTCAGCAACGATCAAGAGAAATGGGAGGCACCTGAGCTAAATTTAAAGTGTTGCTGCAAAGGGTCTGATTACTTATGTCAATGTAATATATCAGTTTTTCCTTTTTCATACACCTACAAACATTTCTAATATTCTTTCACTTTGTCATTATGGGATACTGAGTGTAGATTAATGAGCAAAAATAAATTTAAACAACTGTAGTATCAGGCTCCAACATAACAAAATTGAAAAAAGTGAAGAGGGTCTGAATATTTTATGAATGCACTGTATGTGCAACTCTTAATTGAAAACATCAACGCCCCCCTCCCTCTGACAGATAGCATGGGGAGAAGTCTCCCTGTACTAATCTGTCAGAACATGTTAAAACAGCGTGACCATGTGGGGCTTCGCCCACAGACAGCCACGTCACTCCATTTCACAGACTTGACCGTGAGAGAAAAAATGAACTGTAAGTCCCGACAGCCTTAGTGGCTGTCGGCTTGTAGTTTTCACCAGTGCCGTGGCAGTTCATTGAAGCTACCTGTCATATATATCTGCTTGCTTGTATATCCCGAAAAGGCAAACAGATATTCTGACAGGTCTACAGATGTGCATGGCATCAGCGATCTACTGATTGCTGTTACAATGCTTTCCAGGCTCCTTTTGACAAAAATATTAAATGCTTTTTTTTTTTTAGCTGCAAAAAAAATGTGCGTTTATTATTTTTGTCCAAAAGGTGAACTTATCCTTAAACTCTGAATATCACTGATCAAGTGTTTGTGTCTCACCCTCCAATGCATGCTCTGTCATACTCAGGCACAAGGACTCCAGCCGGGGATTAATCTCCAAGTCAGCTCCAGGAACCTGGCAGTCTGTGGTAGGAAAAAAAACAAAAACATTTGCACATGGTCAGTGAAACCACAATAACAAGCTTGGTTTATCGAAAGGCACTGCTGGGTAAATAATCGCACCTAGTTGATACATCGACTAATGCAGGCCATAGATGGGTCGAAAATTGGCCGATTTTTTGGCCGAGGAAAAAAAAAAAAAAAAAAAAAATCGGCCGATTTTCGCACCGTTAATGGATTACTTGGTTGGCTGTTTTTCTGGATTTTGTCAAATTTTTTTGATCGGTGAAGTTGGAAAAAAAATGGCCGATTTTCGCGGCAATGATGGGCAAATCGGCTGATCTTTTTACAGATAAAAAATCTGCACATGAGCCGTGACCTGGAAGAAGAAGAGAAAGAAGGAACAGAAAGACGAAGACGAGGCAGAGGACGAAGACGAGGCAGAGGACGAAGACGAGGCAGAGGACGAAGACGAGGCAGAGGACGAAGACGAGGCAGAGGACGAAGACGAGGCAGAGGACGAAGACGAGGCAGAGGACGAAGACGAGGCAGAGGACGAAGACGAGGCAGAGGAGAAGACGAAGAAGAAGAAGGAAGAAGAAGAGGAGGAAGAAGAAGAGAAGAGAAGAAGAGGAGAGAAGAGGAGGAAGAGAGAGAAGAGGAGGAAGAGGAGAAGAAGAAGAGAAGAAGAGGAAGAAGAGAAGAAGAGGAAGAATTCCAGAAGAATAAGAAGAAGAACATTAAAAAGAAATTGAGGAGCAAGAAGAAGAGGAGAAAGAAGAAGAGGAGAATAGAAGAAGAATTCCAGTCCGCTATAGATATTTTGACATGAAAAAAAGTTTGCTGTTGCAACAATGTATCTATTTGTATCCGAAAAAAACCCATCTGTATCCGAAATGGATACAAATAGATACAATGTTGCAACCGCAATACTTTTTAATGTCAAATATAATAGCGGGGCTCTCTGCAGGGACAGAAGTAATTAAATGCCGGCCGTAGACAGGAAGAAAATCGGCCGATTTTTTTTTACTGTTGGTGGTAATGTCGGCCTATTGAACGTCCGATTTATAGTTTTTTTTGTTAAAAAAATTGGTCGTTTTTTTCCCTCTATGGCCTGCATAAAGGATGGGAGATACTTTACAGGTGGTAATTATTTCTTACTCCTTTCAATTATGTGATTGCTACCAGTTACAAGAGGAGGTAAACTATTTAAAATGAGTCATTCACATGGTAAACACTATCATTCCTCTGAAAAGTGACCCACGGTTGGTCAGAGGGTGATAAAACAGTAGCTATCAGGCACTGAAATGGTGGCCTGACTCGCAGTTGCAGAGCAGTCCTATTCACTTGAATGGTTTGTTTCTGCCAGTTGTACTGCCTGCCAATTGTAACATGGGGTATAATTTTTGCCACACCTGCAATGCTCTATTTTGTGGAATGTGTAAGACCCACAAGCAGCTGCATGTTCTCTTTTAGTTGGTCAGACAGCCTATTTTTAAACCCCCTGTGTGAACGAAGCCTATTTAAGGAGACAGCAGTGGCTTGAATAAAAACGGTCTTGGGTGTGTGTGGGAAAAGAAAGATATACTTAAAGCCAAATATTAGCTAGAAAATCAAATTAAAGCAGAACGAAACCCATCAATTTAACAGTTTCAAGAAACAGTTAGGCCCGTTCACACTTGAGCAATTTTGAACTTCAGGCTACAAGCTACAAAACACTCAACAAGCAAAGACCTATTGCTTTCTATAGCCCTTATTCACATCTGAGCGTCCTGCACATTTTTTGCACATTTTCTGTCCAAACAGGAGCTCTCCATCCCTTTTTCAGCAGAACCCACACCTTTTAGTGGAAAAACTCCTGTCAAAAGCTGCAAAAAATGTGCAATTCTGCAGCAAAAAAAAAAAAAAAAGCTCACAAAATGCTTGAAAAAAAAGTTGAAAAAACGTGATGCTTAGGTGTGAATGTGGCTGGTATCATAACTGATCACATGTGCAGCACCATGGCAGTTGCAGATCAAAAAGAGGCTAAAATGGCAACATGCTTGGCTGAAAAGAATGGGAGGGTTTAGTTCCGCTTTAAAAAAAATTAATTTGCCAAGCATGTGTTAAAATAAAAAAAAAGTAGCTTGCACTGCAATATTTGTCTCCAGTGTTAGTGCTGTACCCCCTAAGCAGACTGCTCCGAGGTCCAGCACTGCTGTTTTGGACAATTTAATCCACTTTCTGTAAATCTGAACTTTCATGGGCACAACCTCAATATAGAAGGAATCAACGGGTCCTCCTCATTAAGGCTCCATGTACACTAGCTGTTATCAACATTTTTTTTCCCTGCGCCTAGAAGCTAAATAGTGTTACTCTATATGTCCATGCACACTAATTTAGGCTAGTAGCGTTTTTCAAACTTCAGCATTTAGGAGCAGGGAAAAAAAAAAAAAAAAAGTTTTTTATAGAGTTTTTGGAGGAGCTGAACACTCCTAAACACTGCTAAAACTCTCCTAACAGCTTTTTTTCTAGCTATTTTTTTTCTTCCTACAAGTACTGTAAAAATGCTAATAAAATGCTAACGCTTCTAAACACTACTACAAGTCGGCACAAAAAAAAAAAAAAACTTTATCCTTAGCATTTTTCATCCAACTTTTTTTCTAGCTAGTGTGCATGGAGCCTAATGCTTACAATTTAAATCAGTTAAAAAAAAAAAAAACAAAACAAAAAAAAAAAAATTTGGGAGGGATAAATTTTTTCTGAAAAAGCAAAACACTGCTTTTCAATGCTTATCACATGTCTGAAGGCCTAGGCACTTGGTCAGGAAATCTCTTTTGAAGGGAAGGTCACAGGACTTTAAATTAATAGATTTCCCATACTAGCCAAAAGCACATGACCAACACTTAGGCCTTTCTTACCTTATAGCATTAAAGGGGACAAGCATAATTAAAGTCCCTTTAAGATTTAGCTGTGGTTTTTCAAAATATCAGGTCAGACACAACAGTAGAAGTACATACTGCAACACAATGCAGTTTACCAAAACCAAGCATATGCTTGAGAAAGTGTAGACTGACAGGAAAAAAAAGAAATGCAATGTTTAGGTTTCCTGGTGTATAATGTCATGGAATTGTACATAGCTGAAGTGATACTAAAGGCTTAAGTTTTTTTTTTTTTAATATAACGAATGTCATACGTACCTGCTCTATGCAAGGGTTTTGCAGAGAGTAGTGCAGATCCTTCTCTTCTGAAGTCCCCCACTGGTGCTCTGGCCTCATTCCCCATAATGAGTGTTCCTGAGAGCAAACAGCTTGCTCTAGGGGCACTTATGCGTAGGACATAGGACACACAGAACAGGGCTCGGCCTCACCCCTGGCATCCTCCTCACTGGATGTGATTGAAAGCAGCGGGAACCAATGGATCCCGCTGCCATTTCTGAGCCAATGAGACAGAGAGGCGGGCAGGCACTCTTGTGCACATCGCTGCATCGGGAAAATATTGGGGGGGGGGGGGGGGGGGGGGGGGGAGCTGCACACTGAAAAGTTTTTTTACCTTCATGGAGTGCATGACGGTAAAAAAAAAACACCTTCATGCTTTACAACTACTTAATCGTATCAAAAACACAGTATACTCATGTTAACTGCCATACCATTCTTGGAAGGTAAAAAAAAAAAAAAATAGGTAAAACACGGTTACATATTTTTACATGAATAAGCAGGTGTTGAAGTTCACATTGATCCCAGACCGATGTGTGCTAAAAATGATCACCTTATGAGCTACATAAATATGCAGTCCAGGGAAAAGAAAAATTGAACTCACAACAAGAGAAAAGATCCCCCTAACTACAGATAGGGATAAATATATAAAAGAATAGAGAGATGGTTTAAATAAGAGTGATGGGTCTAAGCCAAAGGTCTGTGTGTGTAGGAGTTGAGAGGTCTGTAGACCTGAGTTTAGTTGTTCGTACTTGTCGGTGAACGTAAACTCCAGTCAATAGAACCAAATGTTTCTAAATTTGGCATTTAGGCCTTTAATTGAGCTGTTCATGTCTACCATCAGTCTGATATCGTTAACACGGTATAAAAACTGTGCTACTGTCGGTAGAGTGCAAGACTTCCAGAGCGGAGGGATGCAGGAATGTACTGATTTTTTGAAGATTTGCAGAGGCACCTGCTTTGTAAGTGAAAATGTGGGGTTTTTGGATACTGTAACATTTGTACAGTTGTGTGTACCAGAGTCCAGAAGGTCTGTAGTATTGGGCAAGACCAGAAGATATGGAGCATGTCTTGCGTTTCTGTGCCACAAGGGCAAATAGAATGTAGAAGGGAGGGAATGCAATACCAATGTGTCACTTATTTATACATGGATTCCCGATTAAATCTAGAAATTAAAGTGGGGGCTGCAAGGTTCCTGATAAAAGCAATGTACATGAATAGGTGCATGCCTGTTGCATCATGCCCTCAGTCTGACATTCTCTCTTAAAATTGTGTCATATGTCTTTGGAAAAGTTGAGCATTCAGTAATGATTTGAGACTTCGCTTCATTTTGAAGCAACCCTGTTAGAAAAATCAATTCCAGTAACAGTGGTAGCCACAAAAGGAGAGCATAAAAAACTACCTTCCCATGCTGATCTGATTAAGAATTGCTGGCTGAAGTCTGTGCAGAAACAGATACTCCCAGGAGTGACAATCTCCTGTGTCCCCCTGCAGTGCTTTATGGTTCTCCCCACTGACTTCATCATCACTGTTGAGTCAGTGAGTGCTGTGATCGACGTGATCGACAGCAGGAGATAAACACTCCAGGAAGTGTCAGCTTCTGATCAAACCTCTTCAAAGGACAATTTTCACGACAGTCTCATATGTTTTTGGTGGTTTGCTTTATGTGGAGACATTAGATACAGCTGGAAGATACTGATGCCACTGGGCAGGCTGATAACGGGTGCCTGCAGAAACCCAGCTGAGACGATAAAAAAAAAAAACCTTACCAGGAGGAAACTTGAGAATGCTCTGCGGCGAAGTATGTACGGGCAGTGAATGGGTACGCTGCACTGAGCTGTGACTTTGACATGGCATACTGTTACTACCTCCTGGATTGGCAAACCAGAGATTCTGTAGGAAAACAAATGCAGACATTTATAAATCAGTAGTTCATTTACAAATAGCAGATTATAAAGGAAAAAAAATCACTAACCTGCCGTCCCTGGCTCCCAGTGCTAGGGCTGGTAAGTGCATGACGAGGAGAGACACCCCCAATTGATCCAGGACTCATTACGCCAATCCTAGAAGGTGGCACAGCCCTAGGAGGCATCTGAAATGGGCGCTGACCCCTTCGTGTTACGGAGGCACCCACAGATCCAGCTATGGGGAGAGAGTTTGATGCAAATGCCCAGCTGCAGAGAAAGACAGCCAACTTTAGCACATAGTATACCTAAACCCAGGGTGTGAGAGAAGTAGCCAACACAACATTAGTGGTACTGATAACAATTCTGCCTCTGGGCTTTGATTGAATGCATCATCTTGATCCTCATGTATAAGAGGCCACCAACAAATACAAGACAAAAGAACATTTTTTACTAACCAGTAAAATCGGATTCCTGAAGTTCAGTTCAATACACAGGCTCTTTAATCTTTATAACTGGGTTTTATTCTGCTACTTTCACACAACTGGACGCAAAAATGGAAGGCTGCAGGGACATCCTGCTATATAATCCCTCCCACTCCCTGCTATTCTCATCTTTGTAGCAAGCAATAATGAGATCATAATAATAACAGAGGGTAGGGGCTTGTTTTCCCAAACTACACTCCTGGAAAAAGATTCACCAGAAGTCAAAAACCTTTTTTTCTTAGTCATACTTTGTGAGCTGTGCCCTAAGCAAAGGCCTTAACTGAGAAATTAAAGGACAAAGATCTCTGAAGAAGAATGACCAAGGCTGCCATTTGTCCTCTGATGGCACTCAAAGTCAGATGCGGATCCAGACTAGACAGGAGAGATATGCCCCACAGAGTACTTTCTAGGATGAGTGTTCCTCGTCTCGCAACAAGCAAAACAAGTCTTCCAGGTCTTGACAGAAATCTACTTACAGGATTTCAAGTATAAACAAATCCAAAAGGCCCCTATCCCTCAGCACCATGGCTTCAACAGCCATGCTGTTAAAGTATAAGTTCACATTTCAGGAAGATATTCAGAAAATCCCCCTGTACAATTCTAAAACCAATGAATACAGACAATACCACAGCTGCTTCTGTTGGAAATAGCGACTGTCCTCCCCATTATATCTGCAGCTGTTGGAGGTCCACCTCAGAAAAAGAACTGACCTCCCATCCTGCTATCTGCAGGACGGGCAGAATTTTACAACAATGCAACCCCTTTCCCAGTGGCCTCTCCGGGCCCTGGAAACAGCATGCATGTGCAGTGTAACCTCCCCAGCTCCAGCTTAGTAGTAGCTGCTATACACTCTTCAAATGCTACAAATGCATAGTGTGTGGTCTCCTTTCTAGCTGTGCAGGTTACACACAAGTGGAGCTTGAACAGCCTGGAGCAGCCACTACTAAGCTGGGCTGGAGCCAGGAGAAGTCGCTAGGGGGCGCACGGTTATGAAATCCAGCATGGCCTACTGTATATTAGCGGCCTGCACTTTTTCAGGCAAGGGCCCCCATCTGTATCTTATAGCTGTATCTGTAATGGAAGGATCATTACAATTTCCAACAGGAGAAGCTATGGTATGTACTATTCATTGGGTTACAACTGCATAGTGGGTTTTTCTTTTCTATGAACTGACACTTTAAATCCAGTGACCAAGAAGCAGGATGGAACACTGACCCTTTGGACAGAAGGCCTGGACAAGCCAGAAGGACCCAAAAAGCATCTGCCATCTCCCTAGTATGTCTGAGTACCACGTCCTACGGAGTTATTGTGATGCAATGAGAATCATTGGATCTAACATCTGGGATGTGGACATTTGTCAGGGCTGAAACTTTCAAGTTCTGCTCAAGACAGGATCAAATCCTTTCCCTTTGGGTGATTTGATTTCTGGTGTCTCCTTTATGAATGATGTAGGCCATATTCGTGGCACTGTCCATTTGGATTCTTGAGGGTGTCCTTGCAATAAAGGAGTTGAGTGTTTAAGGGACAACCAAGTCACCCTGAGTTTTAGAATGCTGATGGGAAGGCAATCTTTCCACTGAGTTTCCTGCATTAAGAGGGCATCCAAGACTGCTCCACAGGCCGAAAATCAGTTGTGGGAACCTTCAACATCTATTAAGAAAAGGGCTTCTCCAGCACCATGTTGCAAATAAACCAGTCTAGGGAAAGTCTGATCTTGGTCAGATGCATGAGGTGGTTCAAGGGCCAAGTCCATTTGTCTCACATTGCCAGGATGTTGCATTTCAACGGCATGAAAGCTAAGATACAGAGTTTTGAGCTAAGGTGATAAGATTCTGGACAGGGCAATGTCCAACACTCCAATCTATGAAATGGGTCAAGCAGTGACTTCCTTTGAGGATCCAACTGACGCTGTCCAGTGTGTGCCCTGTCTGCTGGCTAACAGGAATGACTGATCCTTTTAACAGGAGGCTGTCAGGATACCCCACAACATGAATCCTCTGAGGATGCAGCAGAGCCAAGAACGGGGTAGGCACATTGGTGAAAACCTGTGTTTTGTGTGGACGGGCCAAAGGGAAGAGCAACAAACTGGTATTACTGATTGCCCAAAAATTAGCGCAGATAGTACTGATAAGTTAGAAAGATGGGACTGTGTAAGCGGTCTGGATGTCTATTGAGGCCAGAAAATCACCTGGCAGCTACCACAATGAACTTTAAACCTGTAGGAACAAGGTGAGAATCTTCAAATCCAGAATGGGCCCAGTTGTATACATACATAGTCTGACTGAAAAAAAAAGACAAAAGTCAAGGGATCCCTTTGATAACGTGCTCGGGCACGTAACGCGTCGGGGGGGGCCTGCCATAGTGATGTCACGCCGCAGACGGCCGCATGGAAAGCCGGCGGCCATTTTAATATCTCTGTTAACATGTGAGTGCTAAATCTTCATTTTTATACAATTGATTCTTCCGGATTAATAAAAAAATACTACACTATTAGTGCTTCATATGTCTCTGACTTGGTTTATACGAGCCTCAAAAGGTGGAAAAATTCCTGTTTCTTTATGAAATCTAATCCAGTGGTCTGACACTTACCTGGAGCTGTCCCTGTGAGCTGAGAGTGTCATGTTAGTGATTGGAGTTGCCTTGTGTGCCTATGGTGTACAGATGATTCCACCATCCTCGCCTACACCGATGACCATACTTGGATAATATATATACATGCGCATATATTTTTTTGCGCTTCCGGTGAGTGCATTCACATTACTGGCCCACATGTCACAGAGATCACCAGCACGGATCACCCTGAAATTTGGACTTTTGTATTTTGTGTATTTTAAAAACGCACTTCAGTCACCTTATATACCAGTTGCCTTTATTAGTCGCATGCGTCTTTCCATGACGGCTCACCATTTAACATTTGTACCACTTTTAGCGCTCTACAGCGCCCACATTACTATTATTTTTTTTTATTATTTTTATCATTACTGTTATTATCATTTTAATATTGCCATTTTAGCGCTGCATTTATATTTATTTGATTACTTACAAAAATATGTTCCAGTCTTAGACTTGGCATTGGAGGACTGGGAGGGAAGAAAGGAACCCTTCCTAACCTCAGCAGTAAAAGAACTGGTTGATGAAGGAGCCTTTTTTTTTTTCTCTGGGGGAGAGGAATACACTTATACCTGTGGTCTCCTTGATGTATTTATCCAAGGAGCGACAGACTATTGCCATCAAAGGGTTCAAAACATTTCTTGCATTGGAACTTCGTGGGAGTGTATCTGCCAAGCCTTACTTGCAGTTGCTTAAGATTGTAGGTCAAAGTTCTGACTTTGGGCAGAGGCATCCAAATCGATGGAACTAGGGATTATGGGCCATGCGCTTGGATAATCATCTGTCAGACTGCCACAGAAGAAACTGCAGGTTGCATGGTAGTGATGGCAAAGGAAAAAAAGAGCTTTAAAGAAGAACATTAGCAAAAAACTGACTCTAGTTAAGAGTGGGAATGGGTATATAGGGGGATGTCTTTGCAGAATTTTTTTTTTTGCCAGTCACTTAAAGGTAGCTGCATATAACCTAGTCGTAATGATTAAAAAGCCTGTCCACCATACTGTGTGACTATGACATTGTATTTTCACAGCCTGGCATGTGTGATACAGGATGAGCTTGTACTTTCAAGATAACATGCCCCTGCCCACATACACCTATAAAGCATCCACTGAGGAGACCTAGATGTATAAGGCTACGTTCACACTAGCCTTGTGTGCAGGCGGCAGAGAGGCGTTTGGGAAGCGTTTTTTTTACCGCTTCCCAAACGCCTCTGCCAATTCTGCACATTACAGCACATGGTGCTGTTCTAACGGGAGCGTTTGCGTCGCGTTGTGTCGCGGCAAAACGGACGCCTCTGGACGAGTCAGGAGGCTTTGAAGCCTCCTATTCTTGTCTATGGTGCCGCTCCGCAAACGCCCGGCCGGCGTTTGCGGTGCGGTTGCGACGCGGTTGCGGGGCGTTTGCGGAGCGGTAACACCACTCAAATGCATTATAGGCATTTGTGGGGCGTTATTAACGCTCGGCAAACGCCTAGCAACCGCCGCTAAACCGTGCATGCGGCGTTTGCGGAGCGTTTGCCGAGCGTTAATAACGCTCCGCAAACGCCGGACCAACGCTTGCCAAAAGCTATAGGGGCGTTTGGCAAGCGTTGGCAAAACAGCCTAGTGTGAACGAGCCCTAAATGCTGTAAGCATCCACTTTCCAGAGCAACCACCATAGAAATATATTTACAAACCATATGAGAGTCCCTGCAAATGGTTAAAGTAATGTTTACAAGCAAATCAACAACCTCTGCAGTAGCACAAACAGCAGTTTGATCCACTGGAAACTAACTTTTGATCAAAATTCAGGGTACATCAAAGTAGAACTGGCTAGCACATAGACATCTTAAAACGGAACTTAACCTGAAAGGGGAACATTTTTTGCATCCTCATACCCCCCCTCCACTGCCAAATTTGGCACTTTTTGGGGGGAGCGGATAAATGTATTTGACAAGTACTGGCTCACGGTCAGATGTGCCACGGCGATCTGAAATTAAAGGTTTCCCCCCCATAGACATGTGCCATAGACAGAACGGGACCAGGAATTTTAAAGTTGAAATTTCCCAAAGTGATCCCAATTTTCAAAAAACATTTTTCCTTTACTCTTTCAGCAAAAATTTTAAAATGTCAGGTTACTTTTGTCTCACTGACAATGGTAACCAGTTAAAACATAAAAAGGAGTTAACCTTCCCCGTGGAACACAGTCAGCATTAAAGGTTAAGTTCTCCTTAAAAAGTAATAAATTCACATATTTTTGCTGCTAAAAAAATAGCATTTATTATTTTTTAAAAAACAGGAAACTGCAAAGTATTGCACCCACAATCAGCAGATCGCAGGTGCAATGTCAGGCTCCTGCACACACTGCCTACAGCTTTGTGGCCATATCTCTGTATGGGCTGTCATATTCAAAACTGTAGGCAATGTGAATGAGCATGCTGTTCAGTGCTCGGCAGTTTCTTTAGATTCCTGTGAGTGAATGACGCACCTGCGCGGGCGGACTGTTTTCACAAGGTGACAGCGGAGGAATGGGAGCACTGCACGGGGGGAAAAGGGGTAACTAGAACATGTTACACCCTAATTACAGGTTTTAGTATGTAATATGTTCTAAAAGGTGAACTGATCCTTTCAAAGCAGTAGTAAACCGCAGCTTGGAAAAAAAAAAACCAAAAAAAAAAAAAACCATCCCCTGCAAGGTAATGTCATAGTGTGCTAGTATGCATTGTCTTGGGCCACGGCACAGTGCTCTGCAGGAACAGCACGGGTATTACTTTACTTCAGAGCACTTGTGTCGGCTGTCAAAAAGAGCAAATATCTCCTAAATGGTGCACATTTAGGAGATATTCATTTTACCTACAGGTAAGCGTTATTATAAACTTACCTGTAGGTAAAGAGATACAAAAGTGGGTTTACTTCCACTTAAAAAAACCCAAATCCTCCATTTTTGGAAAGAATGGGAAAGAACATGTCAGTTTTTTAAATGACTAACAGCTTTGGATCTTTAATACTAGATATAGGGGGGCGCCCCCCCTCCCACCCTACTGTCCAATACCCACAATCCTCACTGAGGTCTGGCCTGTTGACAATACGTTTCACTACAACAATTTAGCTGCATCCAATCGGTCCCTTTTTTATTAAATAAGCCCATTTCTTAGCCATGTCTTGCATGCCCCACCATACACAGCCCACCTGCACCCCTTCTGTTGCCTGTACCCCTGCATTTCCAGTAACGCCTTGCGAGGAAACGTTCGGAGCAGTTTCAAAACTTGCTGCTTCCAGGAGAGTATTCTCTTCTTCTGTGTCTCAGTAAATGCCTGCAGAAAGATGGAGAAATATATCATTAGCAAGCTTGTGCAGATGGTACACTTTTTACAAGACCTACAGGGCTGCTACTATTCAAATAATTTAGTTTATATTTTATTAAGAGTCAGCTAGATGTTAAATAAGGATATACTATCAACAAATGGCAGCACAAACTAATTCTGTTCTGACAATAAAACCCAAGAATAATCACTTTCTTAAGACCCCATAGACAACTCAAATTTTGGCAGATACCTGTAAACACCACCTGCCTCGACAAAAGCAGATTTACAGATTGACTGCAGATGGGGGATTCCATTTATTTTCTGCAATTTAGTGTGCTGGCTGAGAGAAAATTAAACTATGTATGGCAGCCTTTAGTTGCACTGGAACAGGGTAACATGACTGCTGATGTATGTTATACTGCAGCTATCCACAGATTCTTGCATTTCAGTAGCCAATACCGGCACCCTTACCATCAACCCAATCTAAAAAATTGCTTTTACACAAAATGTTACAGCAAATGCTCAAAATGTGCTTTCTAAAATACAGCTTTGTTTCCCTTCAAGTGGAACAACAGGCAAAATTTGTATTTATATTTTGGGAAAGATTGGCAAATGGTTAGAATTTCTCCATCTGATTTTTTTTTTTAAGTCTGTATCTCCACTAGGGAGATCTCCAATGACTTCTGATAAATTTTAAAAAGTTGATTGGGTACAAAAAGACTTACAGATAATATACTTGTGCGGTGTACATACACAACAAAGCAACAAAACCCAGAAACAGAACAGGGGGCAACCCCTACTGCAAAGCCGACTGAAAGTCCTTTCACCCAAAGCTAGCATCAGCAGAGGCATAAACATCTACCTGGTAAAATGTAATAAATATATGAAGAGAAGATCAGGTAGCAGTCTTACAAACGTTAACAGTCGTTTGATGCCGATTAGCCCAGGAAGTGGAATGGGCCTGAACCAGGAGAGGAGGAACCCTGCCCTTAATACCATAGGCTTGAAAAATAAGTGGACAAATCCACCTAGAAATAGTGAATTGAGAAGCAGCCTGACCCTTGTGGGGACCTTCAGGCAAACCAACAGGGAATCATATTGCTGAAATAAAGCTGTAGGCTTTAGATCTTGGACAGTTAGATCATCCTGTCCAAACCTTCTTGTTAGGATCAGGACAAAAGGATCAGAACAAGATCCAGAGTCAGGTGGAATGAAGAACCACTTTAGACAAGAAAGAAACCGAGGCTTCAACACCATCTTATTATAGTGAAGAACTTTGAAGGGTTCCTTGCTAAAAAGCGCAGCCAACTCAAAAACCCAGCGAACCAAGGTAATGGCCATAGAAAACTCAACCTGTGTGTAAGGGGCGATGAGGAAATCTGAGAAGTTCAAAATGAGAAGACTGCAAGACAGACAAGACCAAGTTAGGACTTCAAAAGGGTGAAACAATCCATTCCACATCCTGAACAAATGCTTTAATAAATGAGATGAGATAGGTCTCTGAAAAAGTACGGCCAACACGAGTTTTGTCCCTTAATGGTACTCAAAGCCAAAGACACCTCCACACCAGACTGGAGAAGAGTGAAATTAAGCTCCACAACATACTGTCAGGGATGAAAGTTTTGAGTTTAACATCAGGCGAAATAAACCTTTCATGTACAATAGCACATTTTCCTGGAGGTGGACTATCTACTCTTAAAAAGGGGATGGATTACAGAAACAGTCTTCCCTATCCTTCAGAACTTGGGTTTCAACAGCCATGCATCAAAGCCAGCGACTGTAAGACAGTATGGAATATTGGACCTTGTAGCAGTACGCCTGGTTGATCTGTAAGAGCCCACAATTCATCTGCCAAGAAACTTACGATGTCTGCATACCAGGTTTTTTTTGGTCAAGATACAGTGCCTTGAAAGTATTCATACCCCCTTTCAATTTTCCACATTTTGTCATGTTACAATCAAAAACAAATGTATTTTATGTGATAGACCAATACAAAGTGACACATAATTGTGAGGTGGAAGGAAAATAAATGGTTTTCAAATTTTTTTTACAAATAAATATCTGAAAAATGTGGCATGCATTTGTATTCAGCCCCCTTTACTCTGAAACCCCTAACTAAAATCTAGTGGAACCAATTGCCTTCAGAAGTCACCTAATTAGTAAATAGAGTCCATCTGTGTGTAATTTAATCTCAGTATAAATACAGCTGTTCTGTGAAGCCCTCAGAGGTTTGTTAGACAACATTAGTGAACAAACAGCATCATGAAGGCCAAGGAATACACCAGACAGCTCAGGGATAAAGTTGTGGAGAAGTTCAAAGCTTAGTTTTTTTAATTAAAACTTAACATTGCTTTAAACATCTCACGGAGCACTGTTCAATCCATCATCCGAAAATGGAAAGCGTATGGCACAACTGCAAACCTACAAGACATGGCCGTCCACCTAAACGGACAGGCCATGCATAGAGAGCACTAATCAGTGAAGCAGCCAAGAGTCCCATGGTAACTCTGGAGGAGCTGCAGAGATCCACAGCTCAGGTGGGAGAATCTGTCCACAGGACAACTATTAGTCGTGCACTCCACAAATCTGGCCTTTATGGAAGAGTGGCAGGAATAAAGCAATTGTTGAAAGAAAGCCATAAGAAGTCCCATTTGCAGTTTGCGAGAAGCCATGTGGGGGACACGGCAAACATGTGAAAGAAGGTGCTCTGGTGAGATGGGACCTGAATTGAAATTTTTGGCCTAAAAGCAAAACGCTATGTGTGGCAGAAAACTAACACTGCACATCACCCTGAACACACCATCCCCACCGTGAAACATGGGTTGTTGTGGCAGCATCATGTTGTGGGGATGCTTTTCTTCAACCGGGACAGGGAAGCTAGTCAGAATTGGTGGGAAGACGGATGGAGGCAAATACAGGACAATCTTAGAAGAAAACCTGTTAGAATCTGCAAAACACTTGAGACTGTGACAAAGGTTCACCTTTCAGCAGCACAACGACCCTAAACATACTGCCAGAGCTACAATGGAATAGTTTAGATCAAAGCATATTCAAGAGTTAGAATGGCCAAGTCAGAGTCCAGACCTAAATCCAATTGAGAATCTGTGGCAAGACGTGAAAATTGCTGTTCATAGATGCTCTCATCCAATCTGACCGAGCTTGAGCTAATTTGCAAAAAATCGGCAAAAATGTCACTCTAGATGTGCAAAACTTGGGGTTCTACAAAGTATTGACTCAGGGGGGCCAAATACAAATGCATGCCATACTTTACAGATATTTGTAAAACATTTTGAAAACCCATTTATCATTTTTCTTCCACTTCACAATTATGTGCCACTGTGTTGGTCCATCACATAAAATCCCAATAAAATACATTTATGTTTTTGGTTGTAACATAATAAAATGTGAAAAACTTCAAGGGGTATGAATACTTTTTCAAGGCACTGTAGTATGATTAGAAGCAGAAGAATGCCATTCACCTTTATCATGCGCTAGAGTGGAGAGAAGGCATAAGATCAAGAAAGCTGATCCCAAGGAAGTCGCTAAGACACGTTTTCTCCAGAACACCTCCCTAGCCAAACAAGCTGCCATCCATTGTCAAAACCTTGCAGTTTATCACAAGAAAGGATTTTCCTGTATCTAGCACCTCCATGGATATCCACCATTCCAGAGCTGACCTTGTTCTGGATGTCAGATGCATTGAGAGATCGGAGGACTCATGTCATGTCACCTTCTGACTGAAGGCATCCCAGCATAGTCCAAGCAAACATTCACCCTCAAAAGGGCAGCTTCTCAATTTCTTGCAGAGAAGTTCTGCCAACCAATACTTGAGCCACAGGACAGACATAGTGCCCTCCTGTAAAAGATGCCCTATGGAGTCCTTCCACGGCATCCACAGAGTAACTGAAGGCTCTTGGAAAGTCTTCTGGAAGCTACCAAATGGCAGGATAATATTGATCTAATTCTCTGGAATGGAGCATGTGCTCGGCCCATATTTTAAGGGCTTGGCAAACTCATACTGCTCCTGTCAGACAGGGATGCCTTAAAGAGGGCCTCCAACCTCTTACCCATGGCGTCTTTGGCTGCTTGCCGTCTGGGGCAATTTTGATGTTTTTCACATATATGTTAAACTCCGCATTTTTTTTTTTTTTTTTTTTTTAAACAAAAAAATTACTTGGAACTCCCAAACATTATATATTTTCTGAAAGTAAAGGACTTGGAGAACAATAGTGGCTATTGCAATTTTTGTTTAATCTCACACAATATTAGCACGGCCATTTATCAAATACAAAAGTGACTGAACCGGATAAAGCTCACCAGGGGATAAAGGAACAGGTCAAATATAAAAGGAACAAAGCCCACAAGAGATCTTCAAGAGAAACAGTGAAACCCATCGATCAGCTTTGGACATTAGCTAAAAACAGATTCAGCTGAGCTGGGAGGTATTTTGCTTGGCAAAGAATTCCTGATTATTTTTTGGCCCATGTCCATTTACCTAAAGGTGGCAGAATAACCTTTGCCGTCATGAATTTTAAATCTCTCTATGTCCTGTGATAAGAATAAACGCCATCATCTGTGAGAAATTCAGTGTCCTTCAATGATGGTTAGAGAAAACATCTTGGCTAGATACACTAACCATATAATTGCTGACATTTTTTTTTTCTTTTTGTCATATCTTATCAAAGAATGACAACTAGCAGGTGCATAACAAAGCTCAGCGCTTCCTTAAAAAAGTAGTGAAACATACATCCACGTTAAAATAGAATAGCATATCCGGTGACCTCTAGAAGGTCCTAAATCACCCTCACATATATGCAGCTACCCACTGCTTATCTTGAGAAGAACCTACTACAAAATTCTGCAAGAATGTTGCTTGCAGAGAATACAAAGACAAAAGAATACAGGTTCAGTATGATGGGAGAAAGGGAAAGTGGACACACAGCAGGAAGCAAGGCATAATCTTTTTAAAGAAAGGAGACATCCAACCTTTGACAGTTTTTACTAAAGAAACTTCAATGTTAACCTCTTTTCAGTGACAAAAGTACAACTTTAGATTTCAATTCTCTTTTTGTCCTTGTGACAATGATGAGCAGGAAAAAAAAAAAAGGGGGAGAGTGAATCTAGTTCTAACAGAACACAGACCGCAATAAAAGCCCAACTCATTTAACACTCTATACAAAGCTAGACCAAAAGAAGGTTTTGAGTAGTTTAATTTTACAGGGATACAATCCCATTTAGATGACTTTAAAAAATTTTTTTTTTTTTTTTTTTATTATTATTTCTCTAAAAGCATAGCTGGCCACTGATCAATTACCTCATGTGTCAGGCACTTCTCTAAGAGTTGTAAATAGCAAGTGATATTCTCCTCATCTGGCCGGGAGACAAGCAGCTGTGTGCACACTGTAGAGAGAAATGTGAGAATCAGCCATATGCTCAGATTGGATGTACAATGTGCACAAAGACAACAAAATGAAACCTGCTTGCTCACCTTTGCCCAGCACTCTTGTCAGTTGTCCTGGTATGTCCCCATCTGCTATGGGTGGCACTGATGTTTCCAAGTCACACCTTGGATCGCTCTGCTGCTGAAATCCATCAGCTGTTAGTCCAGTGGGCGGCTCGTTCTCATCTGGGTTTTTGCTAGATGAATCATGAACAGGCCTATGCTGGGAAGACTGTTCACTGTTCACCGTCTCTGTCTGATTGGGCCTATAGTACTTGATGGGTGTGATAATGATCTGCTGAAGCTCCTGAAGAGCATTGCGTACATTTCCTCCCTCTAAGATGTCCTATTTAAACAACAAAAAATGTTAGGTTTGTAAAATTGTCGTCATCGCAGAGTACCTTAGATAAATGATAGCTGGTCAATTTTATTTTACTTTTCCAACTTTCAAAGTTTAAAAGTCATTTTAGATCATTTTCCTACTACAGTTAATAAAAACTGCTTCTAAACCCCCCCCCCCCCCCCCAATATCAAGCTAGGATTCCGCACTATACTCAATGGGTTCAACAACCCTTCAATGAGCCCCAGAAGCGTTTTAACTGACTTCTTTAGGTTCCACCTGAGAGGTAGAAGTGACAAGATTTGCTAAGACCATAAAAGGGACACAGAGAACAATCCAGCAGTACTGGGGCAGTGTGATTTACAAAAATCAATTCCAAATCTCAACATTTTCTATATTTCCACCATTTATCAATTGTTTTTCAATTTTCATTACCTACTTTCCTCTTTTCATTAGTTTCCCATCAAGCGGTACACGACCTAGATGCCATGAATGATCTGGTCACAAATGAGCCAGAATAACTACCTCATACTGTAACTGTAAGCCACACACAGTGCAGAATCCTGAAGCCTCATGCAATAAAGTATCAAAACCAACATAACACCAGAAACAGAGAAAACAGCACCTGTTGAGAAACAAACCCCAGACAATTGCACAGCCAGATACAATTATCCAAACATTTAGACTTTGCATTTTGTAGGTTTCACAAATACAGTTGTGTTCAAAATAATAGCAGTCAGACATCACTAACCTGATCAATCACTGTTTTTGGTAGAAATGATATTTCTACATGGCAAATAATTTACTAGCAGGTGTAGTAGAGTAATAGAAATCCAACAGACCCAACAGTCATGACATGCATGCTGCTGATTCTGTGTAATTGAATCACTAATTGAAAGGGGCATGTTCAAAATAATAGCAGTGTGGAGTTCTATTAGTGAGGTCATTCATTCTTTGAAAAACAGGTGGCAATTATTGCCCTTATTTAAGGAAGGAAGGCAGCAAATGTTGTACATGCTGGTTACAGTGCATTTCTCTCTGAAATTCTGAGGAAAATGGGTCGTTCCAGACATTGTTCAGAAGAACAGCGTACCTTGATTAAAAAGTTGATTGGAGAGGGGAAAACATATAAAGAAGTGCAGAAAATGATAGGCTGCTCAGCTAAAATGATCGCAAATGCTTTAAAATGGCAACCAAAACCTGAAAGACGTGGAAGAAAGCAAAAAACTACCATTCGAATGGATAGAAGAATAGCCAAAATGGCAAGGACTCAGCCAACAATCAGCTCCAGGAAGATCAAAGAAGGTCTAAAGTTACCTGTGAGTACTGTTACAATTAGAAGATGCCTATGTGAAGCCAAGCTATCTGCAAGAAGCCCCCGCAAAGTCCCACTGTTGAAAAAAAGACATGTGCTGAAGAGGTTACAATTTGCCAAAGAGCACATTGACTGGCCTAAAGAGAAATGTGCGCAACATTTTGTGGACTGATGAAAGTAAGATTGTTCTTTTTGGGTCTAGTGGCCGGAGACAGTTTGTCAGACGACCCCCAAACACTAAATTCAAGCCACAGTACACTGTGAAGACAGGGAAGCATGGTTGTGCAAGCATCATGATATGGGGATGTTTCTCATACTACGGTGTTGGGCCTATTTATCGCATACCAGGGATCATGGATCAGTTTGAATACATCAGAATACTTGAAGAGGTCATGCTGCCTTATGCTGAAGAGGAAATGCCCTTGAAATGGGTGTTCCAACAAGACACGACCCCAAACACACCAGTAAACATGCAACATCTTGGTTCCAGACCATCAAGATTGACGTTATGGAGTGGCCAGCCCAGTCCCTGGATCTTAATCCAATAGAAAACTTGTGGGGTGACATCAAAAATGCCGTTTCTGAGGCAAAACCAAGAAATAGAGAAGAACTGTGGAACGTAGTCCAATCATCCTGGGCTGGAATACCTGTACAGCATGCATGTCATGACTGTTGAGTCTGTTGGATTTCTATTACTCTACTACACCTGCTAGTGATTCAAAGGAAAGCAAAATCTTCATACATTTTTCAGTTTATATAGTGAATGTTTGAGTTTGCAAAGAAGAATACAAACACTGATATTTTTTTTGAACAGTCTAATATTCACTTTTCTTCTATTGTTTTTAGAGGAACAACACAAATTTGATATATTTTTCTTCATGTTTTGATTTGGAATAGAATGTGTAGTGTTCCCAATGCATTTGTGTGTATGGAAATCAAAGCTATTAGAAGGATTTTGAGCTTTATTCACTTTTTTCAACACACTGCTGTTATGTTGAACACAACTGTATATGTTATGAAATTGTTTTAATGTGCAATACCATGCTTTACAGAAATAAACATTTGAAAAGTGAACATCATAAGCAGGACTTCAATGAGGACATTTTATTGTAAGAGGAAGCATATATCTAAAAAGGTACCCACAACATTATTTTCAGTAGATACTTTAACCACTTGCCCTCCAGAGGATTTACCCCCTTTCCTGACCAGGCTATTTTTACTGTGCATTACTGTGTTGCATTACTTTGACAATTGCACCAGTCATGCAACGCTGCAGCCAAATTAAATTTATGTCCTTTTTTTCCCACAAATAGAGCTTTCTTTCGGTGGTATTTGATCGCCTCTGCGGTTTTTTTATTTTGTGCGCTATAAACAAAAAAAGACTGACAATTTTGAGAAAAAAAACAAACTATTTTTGACTTTTTGCTATTAAACATGTCCAATACAAAAAATGTTAAAAAAATCAAGTTTCGTCAAAAATGTAGGGCAAAATGTATTCTGATACATGTCTTCGCAAAAAAAAAAAAAAAATCCCAATACGTGTAAATTAATTGGTTAATGTGAAAGTTACAGCGTTTACAAATGGCGATATATATATACTGGGATTTTTTTTTTTTTTTTTTTAATAGTAATTGCGGTGATCAGTGACTTATAGCGGGACTGCGACAGGCATTCTGACACTGGGGGGAACCGACATCTCCAATGACACCAATACAATAATCAGTGCTAATAAAAAGCACTGACACTGTACTATTGGCACTGGGCAATAAGGGGTTAACATCTGGGGCGATCAAAGTGTTAACTGTGCGCTGTGTGTTTTTTTACTATGGGGCTGTGTCTGTGCTTTCCACTGTAAGCACACTGCTTTGTATGGCTGTGCTATACAGAGCCATACAAGGCAGTGTGCTGGAGCTGACAGGGGAGAGAACTGTATTGTTTACATACAGTTCACTCCCCCTGTTGGTATTACTCGGCAATCGCTGGCTGGGGCCCAGTGGTTGACAGCCAAGGCTGCGAATGGCGGTGCAGGTAGGGCTCGCGTGTGTCCCCTATATGTGATTTTGCGCTCCCCTGCCGCCCTGTAGCAGTATTTCTGCTATACGGCGGCATTAAAGCGGTTAAAGTAAACAAATCAGAAGAAAAAACAAGGGCGTGCCAATTCTAATTTCCTTTTGAAAATAATAGTCGACTGGCTGATATTCCATAGCTACATGTTCAGAACTCTCAACCCGCATATTTGTTAGTGATTCGAAGTATTGAAGAATAATAAGGATAGCCAGGCAACTAGCATTTCCAAGAGAGATCAGCAACAGCATCCTACACATAACATGTTTTCCATAAAGCCCATCTTCACAAAAATAGTCCAACCCTCCTTTCTCCATTTTTCTTTTTAATACGATTTTTAAAACCCCTTGTTTATTCACATATTTCCAGCAAGCACCTCTTTCAGGAGCAAAGCCCTGCGATTCAGTGCTGCAGTCTGTGCTCTTACTGTCCGGTCCCATTACTATGACAACATGGTGCTGCCGTCAGGACCCTCACCATTGGACAGCCAACAGAAAGTGTTCACGTGACCAAAGTAGTGACATGGGCACCCAAAGGACCCTTGAAGACATGTCGCATGATAATGGACTTAAGTTAGGGGGGCTCTTTGGATCAGAATGTTCTTTAAATCAATGTGGTGATTAGCTAGTGGGCAGCAAATGAGGTCCATAGATCAGCTTTAATGACACAAAGTAAAAAGAAGTGATGTGTGGGTAATTTACAACACCACAGTAGGCCAATCAGGCCATGAAAGGATGCTCCAGTTCCAGCTCCTTTTAAATAAAGGTCCATGTCTGTTCTAAAACTTGCCTGAACTATAGATTTCTGCTTACCTTCTCCAGAGCACGAAGCACACTCTGTCTTTCCCTCAGTTTGTTTTCTGGATACTTAGAGCTATTTTGTGTCTTGCACCTTTGGTAACGTTCTGCCATGGACAAAAACAAAAAACAATTAGAGAGGATCCCATGGTCAATAACCGTTATCCTTCCAAGGCCATGAACCCCGCTGTATCTGTACGGCCATACTTTGCATTTTTCCTAGCTGGCTGAAAACATGGCAGTGAGCTGTCAGACGTGACTCAGCTGCAGCAAGTTTAAGCGGTTTTCCTAGTACACAGAAGCTCTTGCAAAATAAACCCATAGTGACATTCACCAAAAATAGAACCAAGAATGTTGTAGCTGGTTCACGGCAAGAGAAGACTAAATATGTAAAGTTCTACTACAGAGAAATTTCCTTGAGGTAAAGAGTGCGACAATCAGAATGTGCAATCAGAACTTGATCTTGTGTTGGTTTTTACAGTTTACATCAGCAAAATCCAGAGCAAACAGGAGAGGAAAAAATACTAATTTTCTCCCCAGGCTCTTGTATATGTCTCTAGATTGGCCTTCCAGTACAGCATATTCTCCTATAAAAAGGACATACAACTGTGCAAACTTTAGACATATTTAGTCTTTTCTAGCAATTCTTTACTGTATTAAACTACGTAGACTCTCCTTGCTGGACTCCTACTGAAATTGCTAGCCTCCTGACGGTCTCCGATTTCAATACATCCTAAAGGTTTCCACCACATATTTTCTTTATTCACTTGAAGACCAGGCCTATTCTGACACTTTTTGTTTATATGTGGAAAGAACGAGCGTGTGGAGAAGAGACTTGTCCAAGTAACCCAGTATGGAGTTCCTGCATTGTCTCAGTAATGCTAGGACAAGGGCTGGCACTTAATAAGGACCTGAGGGGCTGAGGCTACCTGAATGGGAGGGAAAAACCTGGAAATCCTAGTTCCCTATGGCAAATAGCAGAAACCATCGGTGAAATGCACAAGATGGGACATTTACATATGCATCCATGAGTTCTACTGATAGAGATGCTACCAGAGTATGAATGGACTCCATCTTTAAATTGCAGACATTAACAAAAGGCACTGACCTCCTTGAAAATTGTTTGGAATAGAAATCTCCGAATCTGTGTAGATCAGAGGAGAGAATTAGAGTGGTTTCCTTACTAAAACCCTCAACTGCCAGCCAAAGTTCACAGAGAAAAGCTGAGATTGGAAGAAAAGAATGTGATTGGCTGATAGGAATGAAAGTCTATTTTGTAGCTGGAAACTACCAGTTTGTGGACCCAGTTGTCCGAGATGTGAAAATCCAAAGATTTGCAAGTTGTTTCCCTATACCACACACCTCCAAAACACCTCTTGACACGTGGGAAGGAAAAGTTTGTGGTAAAGGACTTCTCTGACTGCTTGGTTGGCTCGTGTTGCTAAAGATGCTTAGGTTCACCAGAAGACGTAGTCTTGAATGGCTTTGAGCCCTTGTGTGAGCAGCCTGATCCTCCTTTTCTGGGGTCCCCTGTGGGCATTCCTTGCTCCTCCTGTTCGGTGAGTGACACCCACAGGAAGCGGCTTCCTATGGGGGCATTCAAGTGGGCCCACTCCTGAACCCCACTGCCTGTATCCATAGACACATACAGAGCGGCTTGCACCTCCCTCCGCTCCCTCGTCACAGGATTTGATTGACTCTGCCCTGTGAGGATGGAAAGAGCGGAGAGAGTTGGTGCTCTTGTGCACAGCGCTGGATCAAGATCGGGTTCGGCTAAGTATAAATGGGGGGAAGGGGGTGGAGAATCCTGGAGAAAGTGTTTTTTACGTTAATGCAGAGAATGCATTAAGATAAAAATTCCTTAAAGTTTTAGAACCACTTGAAGGTGGCACTAAACCCTATGGTCAAGATTTCAAGATCTGAGCTGTGTCCCTCAAAGAATGGAAGAGACAAAGCTACCTTTTGTAAAAATGTTTACATTGCCTCTGTTAAACCTATACTCCATTCACTAGTGTGCCAAGATACTATTTGTCAGCACTGCATGAATGAGAGTATGAGAGTTGCCGGTCTCAATTTTTTCTCTCCCCTTGTCCATTCACAAAATGCCATGTATTCTGTAAACAGAATACAAGATATGTTCTGCATACACAAGGGCAGAGGAAAGGAAAAGAAAAAAAAAAAACAAATCTGCTTCACCTCAGCCAAAGCTCTCAAATGCAGTGACGGAAGTTTAGCGTGGACAATAGTAACTGGCACACTAATGAATGGATTAAAAAAGGGTAGACAGAGGGGATGTGAATATTTTACAACCAATTTCAAAAAGGTAACATTTTGCTTTAAGAATTACTATAGGGCTGTCATCCAAGTCTGACCTCGAGTCACTGAAAATAAGGCATATGAGGTACCAAGCACATCACTGTATGCAAGTTAATTCTAGGCCCCTGACCCAATGGTCAATAAATTGACACGAGATGAAAGCTCTGGACCTTTACCTTCAAAAACAAATCCTCCTATTTGTATCCTGACAGGCTCCTTTAAGAGATAACCTTACTTCCATATCAGATGCAATCCTGCCTTAAGAAACTCAAATAATGTCATTGATGTGAACCAGTCTCCTTTACAGAATATAGAAAAGGATTGGTGTTCTCATTTATTAAATGTAGGTTTTACTAAAATGATACTTTACCTTGTACAGTTTCTTTTATCACGAATATCAGAAAAATGGTTACAGTATATGAAGACAGAAAATAGTGCAACCAATCACCTGTGACTCCAGATGCTGCTCTGTCAGTGTCATCATCTCCTCATAGGTCATTTGTGAGAAGAGTGATGCATATTTGTGTAGGCGTAAACTCTTCAGCCAGGTCGGCACGTCTGCACAGGATTCAGGGACACAGGATGTATTATTAGACATGAAAACATCAGGTAAAGAGTATAACTTAGATATATCAATTTGACAAACATAAGCTGTGCGACCATGTGAAAACCTCTTTGTACCTTTCTTTACAAACTTTAATTTTTTTTTTGTATGGATATAATATATGAATATCTTTTTAAATGCCTGTGCTGAAGAAGGGTATGCTATTTGTGCTGCTTATTTATTATTGCTACTGGTGGCATCCCTCTAATGCTGGACACATATATGCTGTGGAACATTCTCTTTCTTAAGGTGCTTGACAGATGAGGACCAGGAATGAGCTCAGGGGGGACCGGAGACAAGTCCTAACTCACCTGAGCGGTTCTGCCAGGAAGAGTTCGGACAGGAAGAGTTCGGACAGGAAGAAGTCAAACGAACAGCCAATCATAAGCGACAGAGACATGCCACGCAGCTGCATGTATATACATGGCTGCAGGGTGAGACATACCTCTGCAGCTTTGACAGCGTCTTGGCGGAATAGCCCAGATGGGTTCGGACTTATGTCCGAACCTGCCTGAGCTCACACATAATGAGGACCCCAGGAGCTCATATTCTATGCATATCTGAACGAGCCAGATGAATAACTCTCTCCTCTCTTCCTGCTCTTTACAGCTTTATAAAGAATATCAATTTAAATGCACACTTGCAGTATAATAAAAACTCAGTGACGTTACTAGGGATGGTGTCACCTGGATCGGTAAAACACAATATATTGCCCAATTGTTTGATAAAATATAAAAGATGATGTTATGCTGAATAAATAGATACCAAACATGCCATGCTTTAAAATTACACATGCCCGTGCAATGGCAACAAAGTATATACTTTATTATGGATAGGCGACGCTTTAAAAGCCTTTACAGTTCACCAATTTATATTTACACAGGAGGTCTAGTGCTAGAATTACTGCCCTTAATCTGATGTTCACGGCAATACCTCACATGCATGGTGTAACCGCTGTTTACATACCAGCACGAGGTCAACGCTTGTGCACATGCAGGAAGGCAAGGGTGCTATTTTTTTTCCTTTTTTTTAGTTATTTTGATATTTTAATTATTTTTACACTGTCCCTTTCATTTGGTTTTTTTTTTTTTTTTTTATCACTTTTAATGCTATCACAGGGAATGCAAATATCCCCTATAACTTCAATGGGCATTGTCATATTTTTTGAGAAATCTGGGGTCTATCAGACTCTAGATATTGCCTCTGCGCTTACATTATCTAATTTCACCAAGTTTTGTGTGAGCAGATGCTTTCCCAATTTACAAATGGCGCGGTTTATAACCTGCAAAACTGAAGTGATGATATGCTCATAGCTTCTGGTCTCTTAGACTATAGAGATGATTGGAGCTATTCTGATCTCTGATCAGCTCTATGGTCAGCTGGCAGAACTGCCAGCTGCATTCCCCGATTCCCCTGTGGGACAGGAGAGCCCAAGAAAACTGTGGATGGCGGGGGGGGTGGAATGTCCCTTCCCGCTGCTCGCTTTTACAAGCCATCTGCCAGCTGAAAAAAAAAAAAGGTACCAGAATGATTACTGTAGCTGCAGGCATCATCCCGGTATAACCGCTTAAAGTCGACCAATATACCAGTAAATTGCTGGTCCATGTTGGTCATATACAGTTGTGACCAAAATTATTCAACCCCCACTGAAATTGAGTGTTTTGGCCAGTTTGACATTGCTTTTGATCATTCAGTCATCTTGCTTACATTTACATTAAAGAGGCACTTGTAGGTCAGACAAATAAACATAACAGTTATAATGAAATACCACAAATGTCTTTTCTGTGCTCACAGCATTTATCAGTTTTATTCAACCCCCCAAGTGACATTCAATCTTAGTACTTAGTACAGCATCCTTTTACAGTTATAACAGCTTTTAAAACGTGAAGCATAGCTTGACACAAGTGTCTTGCAGCGATCTACGGGTATCTTCGCCATTCTTCATGGGCAAAGGCCTCCAGTTCAGTCACATTCTTAGGCTTGCGCACTGCAACTGCTTTCTTTAAGTCCCACCATGGTTCTCAATCGGATTAAGTCTGGTGACTGCGATGGCCACTCCAAAATGTTCCAGCCTTTCCTCTGCAACCATGCCTAGTGGACTTGGAGGTATGCTTGGGATCATTGTCCTGTTGAAAGGTCCAACGTCTCCCAAGCCTCAGGTGTGTGACGGACTGCATCACGTTTCCATCCAATACCTGGTACTGAAGAGAATTCATGGTACCTTGCACACGCTGAAGCTTCCCTGTACCTGCAGAAGCAAAACAGCCCCAAAGCATGATTGACCCTCCACCATGCTTCACAGTAGGCAAGGTGTTCTTTTCATCATAGGCCTTGTTCTTCCTCCTCCAAACATAGCGTTGATCCATGGGCCCAAACAGTTCTAATTTTGTTTCATCAGTCCACAGAACACTATCCCACAACTTTTGTGGTTTGTCCACATGGCTTTTGGCATACTGCAGTCGACTCTTCTTATTCTTTGGAGACAGCAAGGGGGTACGCCTGGGAGTTTCTGGCACGGAGGCCTTCATTTACGCAGTGTGCGTCTTATTGTCTGGGCTGAAACTTCTGTACCCACATCTGACAAATCTTTTCTCAGTTCCTCAGCAGTCACACGGGGACTTCTCTCCACTCTACGCTTCAGGTAGCGCACAGCAGTCGAAGTCAGCATCTTCTTTCACTGCCACGACCAGGTAGCGTTTCAACAGTGCCCTTTGCCTTGAATTTGCGAATGATGCTTCCTAAGGTGTCTCTTGGTATGTTTAACATCTTTGCAATCTTCTTATAGCCATTGCCCTTCCTGTGAAGAGAGAATCACCTCTTCTCTTGTCTTCCTGGACCATTCTCTTGCCTTCACCATGTTTGTAACCAACAGTAAATGTCTAGAAGGAGCTGAGTATCACAGTCATTTTAAAGCTGCCTAATTGGTGCTTATTATGCTTGATTGCTGCTCGGTGACATCCACAGGTTGTTTTCAATACCTGATGGAAAGCACCTGTATGAACCTCTGTTCTTCAGAGTGGTAGTCTTTAAGGGGTTGAATAATTGTGGCAATGAAGAAACCACATAAGAACCATTTACTACTGTATTACATAAACAATTGATGTCATTTTAGTTGCATTTGGGTAGTTACAACGTCCTTGTAGGAATTTGATTCTGAATACAATTCCAAATGTACACTATAGTCCCACCCCTTTACAGCATTGGGGGTTGAATAATTTTGGTCACAACTGTATGTAACAGCAGAGAACACAGGCATACGATGAATTGCCTCTGTGGATCAACCATGACCGCAATTCATTCTTTTCTGTAATGCCCATGTTGAGGGTTAGGCCGAAAAGAGTTTTAAATTCAGAAACCGTGATAGATTTCCATGCGAATTGTCTGGCAAGAGCTGAATGTGGGTGGGCGGCCATGTATTGTTGTGCGTATAAATTGCCTTGGTCCACAATTAAATTAGTACAAATCTTCCGTGAAAAACAGAGGAGGGGCTAAACACTAATGCTGGCAGTGAACGGGCCGATCCTGCTAACTCTACATTTTGGGGACAATATACAAAAAGGAGGCACTAGTATAGTTCTGTTCGTGATCAATATCTTGACCCGTACAAACACTATACTAGTAATGGCGATGGCGATGATCAGCGACCTATAGCGCAACCTAACGCTAGCTGACCCTGGCTGGGTGGGGCGCCAGCTAACCCTGACGTTATATGATGTCGCTAGTGGCAGGAATGCAGTGATCAGTGAAACATTCTATACACTGACACTGTACTAATGTCACTAGTTGGGTGACTGGGTGATCAAAGGGTTAATAGGGGCGATCAAAGGGTTAAATGTGCTAATCTAATGTGTGTGTAAAATGTAGTGGTGCTTTTACTCGCTTCTCTCCCTGGACCAACGGGTAGGGGGGGGGGGGGGGGGGGGTTGGGGCAGCGGGGGGCACAGGTGCATTCACACCCCAAAATAGGAAGCAACGCAAGATTACGTCGCTTTGCCAAGAGCTGCTGCTCGCCCACAAAATGCAGGTAAGCAGTTGGAAAAAAAAAATTCTTAATTTTTTTTTTTTTTTAAAAACATGTTTTTAATTATAATTTTTTTTAATACTTTTATCAGAATAGTACCATGTTACCATAGTAACATTGTACTACTGGGGGGGGGTGAGTTCAGGGATTTTTTTTTTTTTTTTACGCTTTGCAGGAGAAATAAAGATAATTTCTCCTGCAATGCAAAGCTTGCTGTCAGAACCTAACTCATTCACGAACTGTCATGGATGAGTTAAGTTTTGACAGCTCAGGATAGCGATCTGTGATTGGCTGAAGCTGGTCACATGGTACAGGGTGCTGTGATTGTCCCCAAGTAACATGTGACAGCTGTGGGCCAATCACAGCTTCACTAGGAAGAGAAGCAGAGCTGTTATGAATGACATTGATTCATAACAGCTTTGCTAACATAGCGATCACATGATCGGCGGGTCCAGTTTACCAGGATCTTCATTCTGCTGGACACAGCAGTCATGAAGGGGAGTGCTGTGCGCCCCACTGTGTTAGTACAGCCAGAGCGACGTACGGGTAACGTCGCTTTGCCTGTAACTCCCACTCTGCCGCAGTACATGGCGGGCAGGCAGGGAGCGGTTAAACAGCATAATATAATAATATTAATGAGTGTGCATTTGATTGTTTTAAAACCATCAAGATTATTTTATTAGACCCTAATAATTGACATGTCTGTGGGCTTTGAAAATTGACAAGTCTGTGACAAGTTGTCAACCCTCTGGCAGGTGTCAACCAGGTGCAAGCTGCACCCCTATAGTGATGCGACTGCCCAAACCATTATAGATTTCCTTTACTTTGTGTGGTTACACCCTGGAATTAGAGGAAACAACCAGGAGGGCTAAATAGTTATGCAAAACACAGGTGAGGTAGTATTTTCTGGGCCAGTAAACCAAAAATACATCCTACAACATATATCACTTAACTAGAAAGTAGTGATGTCACTGTGGTGTGAACGGCTATATGCATTTTGAACTACAAAAATGCCTTCCTTTTAGGCACTTTACTTCATGGCTTTTCAACACAAACACAGCATATCAGACAATAAGAATACATCAGAACACCCATTACAATAATGTGCATTACGGTTATTCCTACCTTTCATTCCACTGCCATCTTCCTGGAAGGAGTTGCGTCCAGAGATGATCTCCTCTGTCTGTTCGCTACCCGATGAGGCCACACTGCTCTGAGGGGAGAGGGGAGCATGGTCTGCAGTGAGGAAGACAGAACGTCCAGAAACCTCATCTGACCCCATCCATTCATTGGACGTCTGCTGGGAGGTGGGAATCAGGGACATGGAGCGTTTCAGGGGGCTGGGATGCATTTGGCAGGGAAGCACTGAAAACCAGAGAGCAAAACTAATTATCACTGGAGCAGATACATACTCAGATAACCTTACCAACAAAATTATGATATTTTTCTCCTTTTACACTGAGGATACTGGGGAGAAGGAATCACAGATGCTCTCTTATTCCCTTATAATATGTAATAAGATAGTCTTGTTACTGAATGTTGTAAACAGTGCTCCCAAGGATACACATTGCTTTGCTAAGTGCGCCACAAATCATCTCAGTGGGACCCATACCTATTTAGATGTTTTCCACTGGGTTAAGGAGGGTACACCTTGAGAGTACTAAGGGTAAGAGTCAATGAACCCCAAGGCTAGATTCACATGAAAAATATGCAGCCCTTAGGGCTCATTCACACTTGACTTTATTTCTAACTCTTGCCATATGCCCCTATAGCATTTGACAGGAGTTAGGAAAGCGTTTTTAACGCTCCTCAAATGCTCCCCAAAACGCCCTATTGCGCAGTTTTGAGGCAGTTGATAGGCGTTTGCCAAGTGTTAAAACCGAACAACAAACGCCTATAATGGTATTAACGCTCCGCAACTGCGCCACAATCGGCTGCCAGGCTTTTGCGGAGCGGCACCATAGACTTGAATGGAAGGCTTCAACTCCTCCTGACTCAACACGAAGTGTCAGTTTAGCAGCGACGCAACTTGACGCTTTAGTATTTACAGCACTGTGTGCTGCCATGAGCAGAATTTTCATAGGAGTTTGAGAAGTGTTAAAAACGCTTCCCAAAAGTCTGTCTAATGCCTGCTGACAAAGCTAGTGTGAATTGAGCCTTATGCAGATGAGCCATGGAGCTATCAATTCTTAAAAAGGCACCTTCACACATCCAGAAATGCGTGTATCAAAACACATGATAGCAAAGTACCATGCATTTTGGTGCAGCACAATTTTTCAAATAGGTCATGCATTTCTTTAGCAACTTTTTTTTCCATGTAAGGCAGCCTACCAAAATCAATGGGCTGCCCAAAATGCAACATGCTATAAGAATGTGTGACTCCATCATAACCTGCATAGATGTGAATGGAGCTCTAAAGCAGAAAATGGGATGTAGACAAGTCACAGCTCTCTCTGCGCAGACCCAGACATATTGGATATCCTGCAGTGTTCTCAAGTTCTCTGAACTATTGCACATACTAACTTCACTATAGAGGATTTGGCTGTCCAGGGCACATCAATTTTAGCACAAAGGAAGAAATGCTGCTTGAAAATAGACAGTAAGAACTGACTAATGTATCAGAAGTCTGTACTTCTATTGCTCAATCTGATTTAAAAAAAAAAAAAAAAATTCTCTCAATTTAGCCAGTGAAACCACTTGAAAGTTCTTGGTAAAACCAATCCTGAACATTTTTAAATTGTATCTAGTTGTTTTTGGCACTTAGTGGAACCAGCTAGAAGAGTTTCAGAAGGGGGAAGGGTTAAAGTAGTAATAAACATAACAAAAATTGTATATATTTCAGCTTACCAATCCTTTGATGTCATGGCTGCATTAGTTTTTCTTTTAATTATTATTCTCTTTATTTTAACCTGGTGAACCAACCAATAAACTTCCTGTCTTAGAGCACCTCTTCTGTCTATAGAGGAGCAATGGAGACAACCTTGAACAGCAGTACTGTCTGGGGAGGATAGCATTAGATGGACTAGTAGATTTAGAAAAACTCTGCATATGAGACTAACGAATTACAGCTGACCTGCAGCTAAAACTTTTTTAGTTAGGTACTGAAACAGTTTCTTCCTTTGGGATAAAGGTTTTAAAGGATAAGTTCACCTTTAGAAACATGTCACACCCATATTTACGGTGTAACATGTTACTAACTGAGCAGCCCACGAACCCCAACCCCAATGCATTTACATTTTTTTTTTTTTTTATTCACGTCACTGTACAGTACTATCCTTTTAAAGTGCACTTTATAAAGAGTTTTGAACAGATGAGACTTTTTTTTACTTTTTTCTGACCTCCGGAACAAGTTAATTGGTTTTCAATGCATTTACAAATTTTTTTCACAATATGAATGAATTGGTTTTCAATGCATTTACAAATTAATTTTTATTCATGGCCCTGTACAGTATTTATGCCTTTAAGGTGCACTTTATAAAGAGTTTTTTAACAGATAAGAATTTTTTTTTTACTTTTTTCTGACCTCCGGAACGGATTAACTGGTTTTCAATGCATTCCTATGGGAAACCGAGTTTCTGTTTACGACTTTTTCACAATACAAAAAGTCCCACAGAATGCATTAAATATTGTAAACGGATGCACGCCTGTACATGGGATTATACGTTTTACTCCATTACACTGCAAATAGAATGAGAATATTAGCGAATACCAGGAATAAAGAGATGCTATTGATAAACCATTTATTTCAGCAAACACCATCACATAAGAATATACATTTTTGTGCATATTATTTGCTTGTAAAAACCCCCCCAAAAAACTCCCTTCTGTAGATATCCAGAGACTGCTGCTGGGTGCTGCCATCTTGGATGTGATTACAGCAGAATTGTCATATAAATTATAGTATAGTATTGTTCGTCGCTTTCCCCCTGCCAATTACATAAGAGGTTATGTAGGGAGGTAAGGGGAGGAGGAGCTGGGCCAGAATACACAATAATTAGACACTCTCAGAAGAAATGAGAACTATGGCTTGCAAGGACCGAGAGGGGTGTGCTAGGAATGGACTTTCTGAAGTAATATAATTTTCAAGCAAGTTCAAAGGCATATTACACGTTAATAAAAAAGTATTTATGGAAAATAAAAAAAAACTGCAGGAAAGCATTTAAAATACTGTGCTTTTACCTACAAGTTTTTTAAACTGGTGACAAGTTCTCTTAAATGTAAACCCTAAATTATAGTGGTTGTAAAGGCTGAAGGTTTCTACCTTCATACATTCTATGCATGAAGGTAAAAAACCTTCTGCTACCCACACAGCCCTCCCCCCCAATAATTACCTAAGACTCGTTTTGAACCAGCGATGTGCACGAGGACCTTGGCTGCCCGGGTCTCTCTGAGGCTCTATGTCATCGTTTCAATGCATATAGTGGGGCTAGGAAGCAAGCATGCTCCAGTGCCCCCATAACAAGCAGCTGGCTATTGGGGACGCTGGTCAAGGGGAAAGAGCCAAGAGAGACGGCAGGGGACCCGAGAGGAAGAGGATCGGAGTTGCTCTATGCAACACCATTGCCCAGAGCAGGTAAGTATGATATGTTTGTTATTAAAAAGAAAAACATTAAGCTTTAATATCACTTTAAGGCATTGTAGATTCTCTTTGGTTCTGTACTTGTACAATATAGTCACTGATGCACTGTGCACCCTTTATTATTAAAAGCAAATCTTTAGTGTAAAATCACCAATGTTCTTAGCAGAGCTATAAAAAACTAAATATAAAGCAGTAGTGGTGCACCGAATTGAAAATTCTGGACTGAAACTGAAAATGAGGATGCACTTGACCGAAAACCAAAAAAAAAAAATTAAATTATAATAATAATAATGTGTGCGTCTCTCTCACACACAATATATATACATATATATATATATATATATATATATATATATATATATATATATATTTTATTTCAGGTACTTATATAGCGCTGTCAATTTACGCAGTGCTTTTACATATATATTGTACATTCACATCAGTCCCTGACCCTCAAGGGGTGTACAATCTAAGGTCCCTCACATTCATACATACACATACTAGGGACAATTTAGATAGGATCCAATTAACGTACCAGCATGTCTTTGGAATGTGGGAGGAATGTTAATAATTAAAATAAAAAAAAAAATAAAAACATTTTTTGGCAGGTAAAAAAAGTGTGCATTTATTATTTTTTCTTAAAGGAGCCTATAAAGCATTGCACCAGCAGATCATTAGTGCCCTGCAGGACTCTCCTTGACCTGTCAATATATCTGTATAACTGTGCATTCCGTACATAGCAGTTCACTGAGAACTATAAGCCAATAGCTGCTAAGACTATCGGGACTGGTAGTTTTCTCATTCACATAATACTGTGAATGAGTGACGTGGGTGGGCGGAGACCCACGCAGCCGCGTTTTTTTTTTTTTTTTTTTTAACTTTTGACAGCTAGCAGGCTGAGAAGATCCCCAGCTAGCTGTCAAAGCAGGGGAAGTGGGGAGGAACGGGGCCAGTCCTTTCATAACATGTTACACCCTGAATATGGGTGTAACATGTAACATCTTATGAAAGGTGAACTTGTCCTTAAAAAAAAAAAAAAAATTGCATTATCTCTTTTTTTTGCAAAACGCCAATAATCCTATTTTCGGCACATCACTACAAAGCAGCATTACAATATCTGACAAATACACATATTGAGAGGTGGGAGAAATCACCCAGAACTAGGGAACCCCAGCCAAGGAACCAAGAGACAATTTTTATGTCCTGAATCAAAAATAAATTGTGTAATCTATAAAGTTCATATTATGACACCTACAATAATTTAAAAGAAATAAATAAAATGGTAAATCCCTGAAAAGGTATGCAAAGATCTGAGTGTTTGCCAGGAGATTTATTTTGCCCAAATTCCAGACTGAAACAAGCACCTGAAACAAGCAAGATGAATGAGAGAGCAGACTTCATGCTCATCAGTAAATGCAGAATCAAGACAACATGCATCTTAAAAAAAAACAGACCTGAAACGGCCTCTTACATATTTATATTCTATATATTTAAACCAGTTGAAAAACAAAAACAGGCACATCAAAACTAAAGGTCTTGAAAGCCCCACAGCTCATTTTTATTAAGAAAGAAGCCATGGTGTTTCTACCAACACCTACCTGTACTACTGCCAACACTCTGGATAGCGGAGGGCACTGAACTGGATGAATGAAAGGGCATCAGTCCATTTTCTCTCAGTGGCTTTTCTTGCCAATTATGTCCAGAATCTCCCATGCCAAGCTCTCCTGCGGCCTGCCACTCGTCAGAGCCTTGCCGTAAGTGTGTAGCAGGAACTTCTGGTCTGCCATGTCGGCTGTAACCTGTGGAAAGGCGTTCTTCCAGATGATTAAGCCACAATGCCAGAGAGTTGCGGTCATCCAGAGTGGTGGCTGGGTGGATTAGTGCATAGGACAAAAGCTGCCGGCTCTCCTCTATGTACTGGTTGCTCTCTGTGGTGTATGCCAGCACCTTCTGCAGCAATTTCATGTACTCGCATTTTGCTTCTGTGTTCCGGGGCTGCAGTAGGGGCAGGTGGGACAAAAGCAGAGAGATCACCTTCTCCTTGGACTCTTGATGCCACTGACTTATCAGAGCTGCAAAATGGCAAGAAAATTATATAAATATGTACCAATTCTTCAACATGATCCACAATAGGGGACAAAACTTTGACAATTAAAAGTGGAACTTTAGTCAGAAAATGAAGTCCTGCTACATCACTTCATGCTGGATCCTTTTGCAGGTATAGCTATGTAAAACAATAAAAATAAGTGCTTAAGTGTTTAAAATCCAGTAACACGCTCTCACCCTGCTCTGCACATACTCAGTTGCTCTCAATGTTTAGGCATTTTTAGGCACTGACGAATTTCTAGAGGTGGATCTGCTGATACCCTTAAAGAGAAATCAAACCCTCCCATCCATTACAGTCAAGGACGCTACTTCTGTTTGATCTGCAACTGCCATGATGCTGCACATGTGACACCATCTATTTGAAGGTTTAACAGTTTGGCTAACAGCACAAGCAAAAGTTAAAGTTAGTCACATTCCCAGAATGCTGGAATTGCTGTTTTTTGAACCGTTAAAATCGATGGGTTTAGTTCTTCTTCATGATCTACTTCTGTTCAGGGGCCCTGGGCTTCAGCGAAATGGCAGCCTCCAGCAAGAAGGAACAGGAACAATACTGGAGGCAATTTACAGCACACACTAATTTTGGTAGCATAATTATTAATGTGGAATGTATGTTCCTTGCTAAAGAAGATTTTTTTTATCAAGTTGTTATTGGTAAAGTTCCAATTTAATGCTGTTAGCTAAACAATTAATAATTCAATCATCTAAAATAACCATATAGCTATTGATAATTGGGGTGGCCATAGACTTTCTCCCACTGACTCCCAATGCTTCTGAAATGTAACATTTCATGGTAAAGACCCTGGTGACAAATGCAAACTGCAGGTAAAAAAAACGAAAAAAGACTTTAAGTGCTTTTTTGCAGTGTTTTCCCTTTATACATTTTTATTCACCTGCAACCTGCCTTTGAACTTGTTAGTGAGGCTCCATACACACTAATATTATTTTAAGCTCCTAGAAGCTATGAGCATTTTTTTTCTGCTCCTAGAAGCTAAATAGTGTTATCCTATGTGTCCATGCACACTACTTTAGGCTATTAGCATTTTTTGAGCTTCAGCATCTAGGAGCAGAAAAATAATTGTTTTTATAGAGTTTTTTGGAGCATTTTTCCAGCAGAAAAAAAAAAACACTAAACACTGCTAAATGCTACTAAAAACGCTCCCAACAGCTTTTTCTAGCTTTTTTTTTTATTTACATGTACTGTAAAAACACTAATAAAAAGTGACGGCTACAAAATGCTTCTAAAACTGCTATTACCAGCATTTTTTGAGCTTAAAAAAAAAAAAAAAAAAAAAACCTGCTAGTGTGCATGAAGCCTAAATGTGACTACTGCAGGAGAGTCAATTCCCCAGCACAGCCCCCTACCTCACACATTATAGCCCTTTCCTCTCCTGGGAATGTCTAATTTCTGTCTGTGCTGGCCCCAGCATGTCCTCCCCTCACCTCTCTACATAACCTTTTAGGTAGCCTGTATGTATAGGGGTAAGGGAAGGGGCAGAGAAGCTAGACCAGCACACACAATAATCAGACGCATGCAGAAAAGGTTATGACATGCAAAAAGAGTTGTGGACTATTTGTGAACAAGTCACCATTTGCCATCAATTTCAAAGGCACATTACAAGTGAATAATTCAATGTTTATGGAAAAGGAAAAAAAGGTTGTAAGTATGCATTTAGAATACTTGATTTTTAATGTGCTTTATCTGCAATTTTTGAAATTGGTGATTTTCAATTCTACAAAAAACACAGACATTAGATTCTTGCACTTCACCATGCCCATACCACTGCTACAGTCCCCTGAAATTTCTTTCTGAAAGTTGACATTTTCCTAACAGTAGGCATATGCTCCATGCATTTGACTGAGCTTGGAGCTGGCAACTGGCCACTACAGCACTAATCAATGCATTGTGGGAGGCAGGAGGCGCTCCACTGCTGAAGGTGGCACAGAAGAAGTAAGCAACCTTAGGTAGCTTGCACAGTCTATGTGTTAGCATGAATTTTGTTTGCAAAGTACAGGTTCAGGTTAAATGCACCAAGCAGCCAAAGCATCCAAGCAGACTGACTAATTTTCATCTCCGCCTCATTTTCTGAACATTCCTGAGTATATGTATGAGAAAGAGCATATACAGCAGAAAAATGCATAACAAATATACTAAACAAGTTGTAATGACTATGAGCAGGGTCTTTTTACATATCAGAATGAGAGATTGACGCTTGAACGCTACTGCTCAGACATTACTGGGGCACTTTATGTCATTCACAGTCTGCGAATAATAAACCAGTTTTGTAGAACAGTCCTTGCATTACTTCTGCTATTAAAAGTAATGGAAAAGATTAAAATCCACTATTAAGCAACAATGTTGAAGGAATAGCCAGGGGTAAAGGAGGACACTTGTGCTACTTTCCAACAGTCCTATTAGGACTGAATGGTATTTTCCATGCTGAGCAGATGTTTCCAAGTTGAGATGAATGTGCTGTACTGCCAACTTTCTCCCACTGGGGGTCTCCCTCACTCCTTTCTAGCCACACTGTGCCTTAGTGGATGGATGCGGAAAGCCTCCCCTCTTTCTGTACGGGTCTATGTACTGCCTCCACCTCTCGAAGTTTTGGGACGTCATGCAAAAGGAAGTGTAACTAATGCCTTATCCTTTTTAAAATGATGGTGCTTTTATTAAAATAAAAATGCGCACTCACACATAATACAATTACAAGCTATATAGTGTGCCCAGATCCTCTGTCTGTACTCGCCGTGATCCGCAATGTTGTCGTGATGTCAGAGCCCCTCCCCTACGCGTTACGCCACAGGGTCACGTGGCTTTATCTGAGGGAATCAATTGGACGCCACAACGCTGTACTCTTTATATAGGCCATCCAGGCGCCATTTTCCCGAAGTCCGCATGTGCGCGGCCATCTTTATGGGGTCAGTTACTGCTATATAATTACCAACAATGCATTAGAAATATGCATTGTGCTTGTCTGTTACTCAACTCGCTGGGTATTATAGACCTTCTATTCTCTGACTATATTGTCACTAGTACCGACAGATGTGGACTTGGCATCACTGAAACTATACAAATAAATAATAAAACATAATTAACAATAATATAAAAATGTATATGTATATATAGCATACATGCCTTTATTGTTACCAACTAATCTAACTATATTATAAGTACCGGGTCCCCTACCTATGAAATAAGACCTTCAGATATTATATTATTTTATTATAGGTCCCCTGAATACAAAACTTTAATAAAATATTTTAATAAAAATATTTTCTATCAAAATATTTAATAAAACATAATTAAGAAGTTTTTAATTTAAACCAACCTGTAAAAAATCAATCTATATTATGTCTAAATAAAAATTTATATATACACCTAGAGTCAGATGACATTACCACTGCTCCTTAAGTGCATCTGTGTCTAATTAAATGTAGTGTGTTATTAATTTAAAATACATTTAAATGAATCATATAGTAATGATTTATCATATAATTTATGGTTTAATCATGGTGTATTATTAATTTAAAATAATCTATACGTAATTTAAATAAATCATGATTACTATTACAATCATTAATAAATTAAAATACATAAAAACTTTTTTTTAAAAAGAACATAAAATATACCTAGAAGAATGTAAAAATATTAGTTATTACTAATAAAAAAGTCAAATCAAATTCCTTGTTTAAACCTAGGGGGGCTAAACACCTCATTTCATGGATCCACTTGGATTCCTTTTTACTAATCTCTTTTACCAGATTATCTCCTCTCCAATGTCGGTGTTTTTCAATTCCCCAAAACTGCAACACCGAAGCGTCCTTATTGTGGAATTGTCGGAAGTGACCTGAAACATGGTGATAATTGTACCCTCTATTAATATTATACACATGTTCCTTAATATGTTCTTTCAGTGCTTTTTTTTTTTCTGCCTATATAGATTAGGTTACATGGATACTTTAAGGCGTAAATAAACCCTTTTGTTTCACAAGAAATAAATTGTTTGATCTTGTATTCTTTGTTATCATGTGTGTTAAAAAATGTAAATCTGCGTCTGGGGTTATTTTTAACTCTTACAGCTGTAACACCTACCACATGCATAGAACCCTTTACCCTGAAAAAAGGTCAAATTATTGTTTAATTTTGGTGGTTCCAGTATGTTTTTTATCAATTTATCACTTAAATTAGGTGCTTTTTTATATACAAATTTAGGTGTATTGGGAATAATGCTCTTAAGATGTTTGTCTAATTTCAGTACTTTCCAATGCTTGGAAAAAATCTTCTGTACCGCTTTATATTGTCTATTGTAACCTAACACTATAGGTACTTCAAACTCTTCCTTATTTTCCTTGGGTTTATCTATCAACATAATATCTCTATCCATTTGTCACACAATATTTCTCTCTTTTTCTATTCTATCCGGATCATATCATTTGGATATAAATCTATTTTTTAAAATTCCACTTTGTGCCCTATAATCAATATCTTTACTACAATTTTTTTTCAACCTAATGAACTGGCCCTTTGGGATGTTATTTATCCATGGTTGATGATGACAACTGGTTGTTGGAATATAAGCATTACGGTCAGTGTTTTTGAAAAAAAGTTTTGTATAGAACAAATGACCTTCCGTTTTAATTAAAATATCTAAACAATTAATTTCCTCTTCACTAATATTCCAACTTAAAACTAATATCTGTATTATTTAAATTTTCATAAAATAATTCTAAACTTTCTATGTTGCTATCCCATATTATAACAATGTCATCAATGTATCTATTATAAAGTCTTATTTCTTTCCTGGGGTTTTTGTAAATGAATTCCTCTTCCCACTTCGACATGTACAAATTAGCCACACTAGGGGCGAACTTAGCGTCCATTGCTACTCCTCTAACCTGTAGGTAGTACTCTTTAATATACCAGAAGTAGTTGTGGTGTAAACAAAATTTCAAACATTTAATAAATGAA